TATTTCAAAATTGAAGTTATCATATGACAAATATTCAGTGGACAAAGTTTGAACAAAAATCTATTGTCACTTTTATTTCAGAGGAATTACCTTAACTGTGGCCTTCTTTTTCGTCCCACTCGCCATCATCCTGGGAACATATGGTACCATCTTTTTCATAGTTCGTGCGCATGCGCGTGGAAGAGGCGGAAGCTCATTTAAGAAGGTATTTTAAATTCGTTTGTGTTAAGTTTAGCAAAGAAACAAAAGAGAATAAAATAAATGCTATACCTAAACCATTTCTACCTCGTCGACAAATATGGCAAACAAACATACCTCGGGCATATTTCGTAATAGAACGCACAAAAATGACTAAAGTCTTGCCGCCCTTCGATTGGGCAGTATAATACAAAGGATTTTCTCCCCAATTAGGAGAAAGCGGTCATAGAGCCGCTTGGATCTGGCCCGGTGAGACCCTGTCTACAGAGGATTCTTCCTTTCTCTGCTACTCATACTCGGGCGCGATAGTTTCCGTCACCGTTTCGACTTTTTCTCGTCCTAATTAAGAGTTTTAGCCGATGACAAAGGGAACGTCAAGCTAAGACAAGCTAAGGTTTCACGAGCAGTACAATGGTTGTGCACGTGCGTAATAACTACATAATTATAAATTCAAAAGTCTTCATGCTCCTTCATCTGCTATTGTCAGAGTTTCCTCAAACCAGCCTTTTGACCGACCAAATAATATCATGTTGCTCTGATTTCAGGATCTGCGCATTGCTACAACAGTGGCTGTTGTCATCGGTCTTTTTGTCATCTGCTGGACACCTTTTTTGCCACCAGTTTTACATTTTATGTTTGTGAAACTGATTAAAACGTGGATGACCATTGAATGTCAGAGGTTCAAGAAACTGCTAGAAGGATTCGAATTCGTTGAGATAACCAAATGGCTCCAGTATGGGAATTCCGTTTGTAACCCCATCATTTATGGCCTTCGTAATGAGGAGGTTTGACGAACATTTCGCAAAATTCTGCTGCGCTTTTGCTGCAAAAAGTCGGGATAACAGAATATAACAAGAATGCACAAGAACGCATACATAAGGCAGAAAGAGCTCTCCTTCAATGTTAGGCAGGTTGTGAATGCGTGCATCTGCGATCGGTCACCCCTTCGTCCCAACCAATGCGAGAAGGCTACTGTCAAGCGATTTAGAGTGACCACGCAATTAAACTGGAGATCCTGGCAACAAAGAGTTTGGCGGATAGCATTCAAAAGGAGAACGAAGATTGCGCACATCACAGCTTCCCCTCTGTTTCTACATCGGCGTCCAAACACTTGACCACAGTATTAGCCGTTGCTGAACCTTCAACTGAACTTTGTAACCCTGCCTTCGAACGCGACCTAACGGAAACTGGTGCCGGCAACATGACAGGTATGCCGCGTGAATGTTACACGGAGGCTTCCACGCAGAAAAAAGAAGCCTGCGTTCAACTCACAGATTCAAAAGACCAAGGAAATGCTATTAAAGAGTCCAAACTGAAACAATCTCTACTCTAGCATCTCCATTTAAATTTTGAAATATTTTTCCGGCCAAGAAGTGGAGAAAAAGACTTTAGAAGACATTGGATGAGGTCTCAACCGATTCCTCTTCTCCCGTACGTTAGTAGCAGTTTTGATTTAAAAACCGTTCTTGCAGAACTTCGTCGAAGTTCAATTCGGCAGTACTGTAGTAATAGACTGGTTCGCTAACTGCAACTTCCAGGTGCTTAAATCTAAAATGAATACATGTAATTGTATACAGACTGTTTTAAACTTCGCAAACAGTTCTTACTGGCAGCGATTCTACTCTGTAAATTCGAACGTAAACTACCGTAAGTTTATGACAGGTCTTTCTTCAAATATCCGGATAATTTATGGGAAATTTAGAAGTTTCTGAGATATATAGAAAATAGTAAAGGGATATTTAGAAATATTTATAGCTTTTCTTGGTTGAGTCCTGTGTTTTCCACTTTTCCTCGCTACTTCCTTGAAAAATGTTCAGTTGCCAGAACGGGCAACCAGTTGAACGGTTAATAGGCCCTTTGCAGCTGGGGTCACGTGACCACATTTTTTCTTAAAAAAATTTCTATTATGGGCTATAACTTAAAGAATGCCAGAAATGGAAAGACCATACTGAAAATACCAAAATGGCCAAGTTTGAGGCCCCCGTCTATAAAGAATGAGATTTTACGACGGTCTGAATTTTTAAAAAATAAGAAGATTTGTATGGAAAAAGTTGCTGGAGAGCAAGGCCTTGCTCTCCAGCAACAACTTCCATACAAATCCTCTAAATTTTCTGAAAATTCAAACTGTCGTATAAACTTACTCTTTAATGCAAGGGACCTCAAACTTGGCCATTCTAGTATTTTTAATATGCTCTTTCCATTTCTGTCATTCTTTAAGTTATAGCCCATAATAAAAATTTTTAAAAGAAAAAATGTGGTCACGTGACCCCAGCTGCAAAGGGCCTATATAGGCCATATCATCGACTAAAAGCACTAAGACCAACTAAAGCAGCCTTTTCCAAAATGGCGGATGCTGGTAACATTGATGGACCTGAATCTTCTTGCTGTACTCCTTCTACTACTGCAATGTAGAGGACTAGTAATGTAGATAATCTCTTACCTACTTTTCAACTCGCACAAGTGAAAACTTTGGCCGATTAAACCTGATTAAACCGTGACTCAAAATCCATTTTCAACACAAGAATAAGCATTATCTGGAGGGTTTTTCGAGATATTCAGATAATGTTTTTGACAATTTCTGGAAAGAAATTTAGGTTATTTTACGTGATATTTGTGAGAAGGCCTAGCTTATGATACAATTGATGATAATGGGAAAGATGTACATCACGCAATCAAGTTTGGAGGGAAGATTGCGTGACAAGTCAAGTTGGCGTGGTTACACATTTCCAAAGAGCGCCAAATTCGCTTGTGACAGCCACGAATGTTTGTAGAGAAAATATGGTTTATTTTGTCTTCAGTTAAAACTCAACTCTTGCCAACATAACCTGTTTGACATGATGAGTGTTTTATTTACCTTCGCCATTGTTTTAGTGAATCTAGAGAGGATTTGTCGGTAAGTTGGACGGCCTGTTTTAGCGAAAAAAAGAACAAATGTGTTGTAATTACCGTGGAATTCACTTTTGCCCTTGTCTCTATCGATAGCTGCAGCTGCCATCCTTCTCCGAGAGTGTTGAAATTTGAATTAAGAGGATATTCTCCACATCTTCCTAAGTCATCACAGTGGGAGATTGACGCAGTTTCGTACGATCGTATATCTAATTTAGGAAATGAGGTCGCCCTTGGAGATTCTGTCATTGTTCAAAATAAGCTAACACTTCTAACCCAGTGTAGTGCTTCTCTCGATCGTTCCTCGAATACAAGCGAGTTTATTCATTATTTTTGTCGCTGGATGAAAGGAAGGGATACCGGTTAAAGGTGAGAAGTTTATTTAAGGCATTCATAGTGCCTTTTAGCACTGACTCTCTTTGATTTACATGTCGATGTTTATATTGACAAAAACATTGGGCCCTACTTGTACATGTATACTTGGAGTGGCTAATAACAACGTCGCATTTTCCTACAGAAGTTACGCTAAATGCCTTCCAAAGCATCTGAAAAGTACTCTCTGGAAATATTCATACACTGTATATGTATCTTCAAAATTGATTCGATATTGTTTTAGTTTGATATGCCCGACGATTGCAGTGTGTTTAATAATTATTTTCCCGTGTAAGTCCCATGATCGTAAAGAATCACCTGGCTGTTAGCAGGTGATCACAGTCATAAATATTCGTTGTGCAGTAGGGCTGAAGATATCAAGCTTTATTATTAAATTTACGAATTTTCTTATCTCAGTGATTTTCTATTTTAACTATATGTAGTTCGTTTTCTTCTTGTTAACCTTTCTTTAATGTATCCTTAGTTTATTGTTTAATTGACTAGTGACAAGTAAAAAATTTTAAAAAGTGACTAACTCGAAGAAAACTAACCACACATTGTTAAAATCAAATATTAACTGAGTTCAAAAATTAACTTCAGCATATACATGTATTTATTCAAACAAGATTTGCATTGCAGAGTTCTCATGTAAAAGGGAATATTTCATGGCATAATATATACAGAGGATATTACAGGGTGGTGAGAAGATATGAATTTTATGTTCGAGTAGCAAGAGCAATATCTCATGAGTGAGATATTGTTCTTGCTACGAGAACTTAAAATTTGTGTCTTCGAGCTAACATGTAATGTTCTTTTTATTATATTGACATACTGATGATGGTGTATTTGATGATTTTCCGAAGATTTCCAAACACTTTCCGAAGATTTCCGAAGATTCTCCAAAACTTCTCCAAAGGTCACACAAATGTTGCCAAGCATTTTCCAAAATTTCCAAAGATTTCCGAAGATTGCAGAAGATTGCCAAAGACTTTCGAGGAAGACCTGAAGATGTTTCAATCATACACCAACAAATTTAAGTACAGTTTAAGAGACCAACTTGATATCAGTGAAATCATCGATATCTTCACTAGTGAGGATATGGAAAATACACCACCTGAGTCCTGGATATGGTTTTGTATGAATTTTACGATTGGTGTATTTTCCAGTAAAAAACCTGTGTCTTTATGATAAATGGTCAGTTTATAAACTGTGTTTTTTACATTTTATTGCACTGGCAATAATATATTTCATAACATATTTAATAAAAAACCTGGCAATATGTATATATGCCAACTCTCCCAGATGAATATTTATCCAGAAGTCTTCCTGGATGCAGACCAAGGCTAATTGACCATGTCCCATTTAGGGAACATGTGCTAATTATTTCTGTGCATCCTGACAGTGCTGGCAACTAAAGGCACAATGTTATGCCTCATCATGTATCAAGGATGCATGCTAAGAAAGCAAGTAAAGAGCAGTTCAAGTTATGTAATGAGTTTGCTTGTAGCTTACTCTTGAATGGTCCATGGCAACCTAGTTCCCAGGGTCTCTCATCTTACCTTTCCTAATGGACCACCCACCCCCTCAATAATTTAATTGTCATCTCCCAGGTTCTGGGAGACACGTGACCAGACCCAACCAGGGTCTCTCCTCTCTTGCTCCAGGGGGCCCGTAAGATGAGAGATCTTTGAAACGAGATTGGGTGCATAACCCCTACTTTATTGGATAAATAACTTCCCTTTCCAGTGCAACAACAGAATTCTTTTAAATGAACAAAACAATCAATTTGGGTTCAGTGAGAAATTTCAATTTTTTTTTCTGCCCACACCGTATTTAATCCTGCCATCTTGCATTTGTTAAGCCAGGGCAAATGAATACATGCGATTACTAAATGATTAGGTTTACTCAGTTTAGGGACCATTGGAACAGTGACCTTTCCTTTTGGCAAATTGTTTCTGAACACCTGTTTTATTGTTACAAAACATGTGAGTTCCCTGTTGTTTCTGTGCAGATTTTCTCAAGAAAATGCTGGACTGACTGACAGTATATGGCCATGGAAAGGAAGTCTAAATGTTATTGTGGGGAGATCAAAACCTCACTGTGGCATAGAGTTGCAAAATGTTGGTCTCTTTAACACACGAAAAACAGTCATTTCCACAATAGAAATGCCTATGTTAGGTATTTTTTGTTTTGCACTCTTGGGCTCTGCTTATGGAATGGCAGGTAAGCTATTTTTTAAATTAAGTATTTAATATAAAATTAATGTAAAATAGTATTACTCAGACACAGCTGTTGCAACATGATATGAGTGGCCTGTGACCATTGAGCCATTGAGGTCTTTTTGACTATAGATTGCAATACAGTTAAGATTTTAGGTGAAATGCTGTTGCAATAGTATTGCAATAGTGGTGATACTATTGCAGTAGTATTGCAATGCTATGACAGTTTGCAAATGTATACATGTAGTAAATGTATAGTGTTGTATTTTTATTTTGCCTCTGACAATAGTCATCAAATCAAGATATATGCATCTCTTTGCCCCCTTCCTTGTGAGGGAGGGGGTCAAATACATGGCAAAGAACTGCTTCTGCACTAAAAGTTAAACATAAATAGTTGAGAGTTTAACACAGCTTTTACTATATAAATGGGGCTCTTTTAGCTGATCCTAGTATTTTTGTAATAGCATGGAAAGGGCTCTGTCTAATGTATACAGTTGAATGAAACATTCCCTAAAAATTACACATACAAGAATTAATGATTTCCTTTTATCAACATTTTAATTTGTTACATTTTTCTTTTAATGTCACAGTTCCACAATTTATCCAAGCTTCATTGCCTCATGTTATGGTAATATCTGCAAAAGTTGGAGAAGGCATTGAACTAGATTGTTCATCTGATGGTCATGCACACCCAGAAGCACTCTGGTACAAATACAATATCCCTCTATTGGATATCACATATCGTACGTTAGAAGGCACACTAAAGTTCAGGAAGCTGGTTTTGAATAATCTACTACTGGCAGATGCAGGAAATTATTCTTGTTGGGTGAACGACACACTGGGTTCAATTAACAGGACATTCATAGTATATGTATATGGTGAGTATACGTGGTACGTTTTCAGTCACACAATGTCATATAGCTTATCTTGTGGGAGGTGCATTGGCCTAATGGTAAGTGTACCGGACTCCAGATCAAGTGGTCTATTTCCAAGCATTGTGGTGTGTCTTTTAACAGAAGAAACGTTACTGAAACAGCACCTCTCTCCACCCAGGTGTATAATGGGAACCAACAAATTAAATGCTGATTGGGGAACCCTTCAGTGGACTATCATTCCAACCAGTGGAAAGTAGAAATACTCCTATTCGCCTTTTGGAAACCAGAGAAAAGTTGTGCCCTATCCCAGGCTCAAATGCAGACTCTACATTTTATCTTTGCTTTTTACCTACCTTCCCAGTGTCTTTCCTTTTTATATATGCCTCTCTCTGCTCAGGGAAATAAATCATACGGGTATCAGCCAATTGTGTAGCAACTTGAGAACATTCTGGAGTGGGTGGGCTGGGTGGTAACCACTGTCAACTGTCGTTCTAATCAGTCAAACCACAGCCTGATAAGCCATGACAACCCTTACTAACAATAGGGCAGCACAGAAGCATGTACAGCTCTAGGGGGTACAAGGGCAATCTCGTGACAAAAATGTTTGACCACTCCAAATATCTTACTGTTTTCCATAAACACGCTGGAAATCAGATTGGGATCTGTGCTTGAAGCTGTGGTGTGAAATGCAAAAGATGAACTTTTGTCAATATCCTTGACATCTTTTAGAATCTTCAAACACCCGTCCAATGATTCTCAAGTCACTGATGACTAACAAGACGACAGTCCTTGGAAGCGAAGTCAGCTTTCATTGTCACGTGGCCAGCGAGTCGGTGGCATACGTCCGGTGGTTCTTCAAAAGATATACCGTTCAAGGGAATACCTTTGGCAATTCAATGCAAGCAACAGTTACAGAGATTAGGAGTACTGTACCAGTCAAGGTTTCAAGTTTTGTTGGGAATGGATTAAATGGTCACCTTTTCAAAGGCGAATCAGTATATCTTGTGAAAAACGTTTCTCATCATGATCAAGGCGAATACATTTGTGAAGCATTTAATGAACGCGGCAGAGTGAGATGGGGTGCGTTCTTGGTGCTCGTCAAAGGTGATTTTCCTTTTTTTTTTAATTTCTTTATAATATTATGACCTTGACCACTCTGTAATATCATGACTGTGACTGACATGTCTCGGCGCGCCCTCGTTTTCGTCCAGGGCAAAATTAAACCGGGAATGATGAGCGAGGAGTGAGGAGTGAGCGGTAGTGGTGAGCCTGAATAACATTCTGGTTATGCTGAAGAGCACCCCGGATGGTAAGCCTGAATAACGCTCAGGTTAGCCTGTTAACAGTTATCTCTCAATATATTAATAACGGTAACGGCAACACTCCTTACCCTCAGCCTCCTTTTAGACCTGCCAGTCTGTCCAACGTGAAGTAGACGTCTGAATTCGAAGCTGAAAAACCTCGAACTGATCTATATGCCTAGTGTGTCTCTTAATTAACTTAGCAAGCTCGAATCTCAAACTTCTTTTTTGTCCTTTGTGGAGAACTGAATACGTGCACAGTTGGAGAGCTTACTCGCTTTGGCTAAAGACTTGGAATTTTAGTTGTTTGGCGAGTGATGAGTTTTCTAATCCATTTTGCACCTTGGGGAATTTTCATGGTTAACAGGTTAATATTTGGCATCTCTCTTTTGGTCTTCTCCTTTTTTGGTCTTGCTCATTAATACCTGATTGGTTGAGAATTTTGAAAAACCAGCCAGAAGGTATCGTACATACAGATGTCAAAATTTAGGCGAGCAAGTTTTGACAGTGTCGGGTGCTTCGTTGTGACTGAAATCTCTATTTCTGAAAACGAGTTGTCTCCATTAATTAACATTGCTTTTGTTGTTGTGTTCTTCCAAGCTCCTACACCCTCAGCTCACGAAAAAGAAGCCAGGTATGCTGCTCTGTTTGGACAGACACAAGATCTGCCCTTGGCTGTTCTTGTCGCTGTGCCTGTAGCCTTTTTAATCATATTGACGGCGGTGTTTATCAGGGCTCTAGAGAAGGCCAAGCAAAAACATGGAGTCGGTCTAGTCAAGAAAACAGATATGAATGGGGATGCGGTGGTGATGAGCGAGTCATGCAGTAACAAGGAATCTAGTAATCAGGTAATCAGGTTCACTGAGTAGCAAATTAGAGAAACATATTTCTTGTGGTCTAACTTGCGGATTCACTGGGAGTCACCAAAATACTGTAGAAGAGTCGACCGAGTCCGTTTGAAGTTATCATAAAGGTGAATAAACAGAAGCCCCCAGGGATAATCGAAAGGCCGTGATAAGTGACGTTCGAAATTACTGGAATCTAGCGGTTATCTGATTACTGTTTGCAATAACTGCATATTTTCTTATGGTCGGGGTTCATTCGATGAGTTTTTTCCTACCATCTTGTTTCCGCGCTCGTTTAAATCCTCCGCGGTTTTTATTTTGCTGGCACGTTCTCGGCAAAGTAAGAGAAAATAGAAGGTCGGTGAACAGACAACTCTTGCAAAATAGTTTTCAATACCACTCTTCGCCTGAGCGTTGGGTAACGTGCCTGTTGCAGGAAGAATCATGTCTGGCTTGAAGTAAAAGCTGAATTGTTTTCGTCGACTTTAATACCTTTATTGTGCTGGATGTGTGTTTAAAAGTACAATCCGACGTGATAGATATATGAAGCTAATCACTTTGAGTTTATTTAGAGGAATGACTTCTTTCTTTTACGTGTTTCCAGAAAATGGAAAAAGAAATCGTGTTTACCGAATCTCGGCGAATTTCAAATTACTCAAAACATAACGGATTACATACTGGTCAGCAGACTACCCAGTTATGTAAACAAGTCACGTGTCTGGAGGCGACATGTTCTTCCGAGCGACTGCCGTCCTCTCAAGCCAGTGACGTAAGCAGTAAACGATGCAGTGCTGCGCTTGAACTCGAATGGGAAGGGTTTGAACTGGTCATGGAGGATGGATTTGAAATGATTAAATTGTGTAAAGAAGAGGAGGTGTAGATAAAGGGAGAGGAGGGACTGGCGATATAGAATGAGCGGTTGTTGATGGAGGGTTTGGAGCCTCAGCCTTGGAGCTCTCATCATGAAATACTCAGGATGGTACGTCATTTGTCCTTCTGTGGCATGGCGAAAAAAAAATGGTAATCAACCAAGAATACTAAATGTTTGTTTGTTTCGATTTTGGCCAGTGACTTCAAAACGATTTAAGCACAGCTCGGCACGCATTTGGGTTGTTAGGTCCTGACTGACTTTCCTCACTGGTGCATAGCGTACGATTAAGAAATATTCCCAAGAATTCCGAACCATCATGATCGATTTTCATTCGAATAAGAACACTCAGAACTAGAACTAGGGTTCCCTTGTTTTCCACAGAATTTCAATAACTGGCCAAACCAGCTCCGTGTTTCTGACTGCTCACTTATACTGTTAATCCCCTCTTGGTCCATTCTCTTTATGTGGCTGATTGCTTGCTAAAGGAACAGAGCAAAAGCTTAGGACGACGCTGCAACTGAAAACGAAAGCTGCAAAACGTTCCATAAGTAGATGGTAACGTCTTCGCAAAGCTATCACAATAGCTGCCGTTAGAGGGTGTTCAGTATCTTGAAGACCGACTAAGCAATTGAGAGATGTCTGTCACGTTTGGTAGCAGGGTAAATTTATTAGTACTTTTTTTCATTTCTCTTTCACAAATCCTGGGTAAATGTTTATGGATATGTTGTCAATCTTTAGCAAATAACTGATATGTTTTAGTCTCTCCAAAGTATTCATCTGTCTTTTTTGTTTTCTTTAATATTCCCCAGCCGAAACGAAATTTGTAGATTTCTAGTCATCACTTTCTATATCAAACATTCTTGAATTTTACTAACAAGAGGAACACCTTCTGTAACGGCTTCACTTTGATTAATTGATAATTTAATTGATAGCTTTAGTATGGCTATAGCCGCTCTGTTATTTCATTCTGATTCACAGTCGAAAGAACTAGAAGTGTGTAACAGCATAACAACACGGAAGGACGATATTACCTTCAATTTTCTGTATGTTTGCACGTCTTTGCGTCGTTGCATCCCTACAGCGGACTAGACAACATTTCTCCCTGTAAATTGGGCGACAGGCAAATCCTTTCCTCTCTGGAATTTTTACAGTGGCATAATTTTTTGGGAGGGAGGGACATATTGTACTTCGGGATCGGAGAGGTTATCGGACACAAAATGACAAGGGCAGGGGACAGAGATCTTGTAAACAACGGTTCCCAACGAGTAGAACTGAGACAACGGAATAGCGAAAACAACTCCGAGGGATGCGGCATTAAGAAAATACTGGTACTTTGCGTTTGTTAGTTTTTTCTTGTATATTTTAGTGAATAAAACAAGCTAATCTAACAGCTTTATCAAATCAAAGTTTAAGTCATCTTCATATCTGCGGAAGCGAAGCGTATATGTTTGCTAAACGACAATAGGAAACAACGAATACTATCAAAGGCCACTGTAAGGGCGAAGCGTGTGTGTCTAGTCAATACTGATATGAACGTTAGTCCAAGTTGAATGCGTAATTCGGCATCGTAACAGACATATGCCAGTTACACGTAAGCCTAAGAATGATCGTATCCGCTCTCAGTGAGACATGTACATGTACATAAATTAAAACTTTTTGCGCGACTTGTGATTGGGCTGGAACCCTGTCTCCAGGGATGTCGACTGACATTGCCTCCGTCACCCACTATACGAATCCCTTCATGAAGTGTCTCAAATATTGCTGCACGCGTCTATGCTATTGCAAACATAAACCTACTGTAGCAATTAATTCCCCGAGCAGTTCGACGACTACTGAAAGCATCCCCCGAACCAAGCAATTAATTTTCCGAGCAACTGGATGATTTCTGTTTAATCTCTTAATGCTATACTAGAAGTATCTCGGATATGATTATATTGCAATCGTCTAAGCTACTGCAAACTCGAACCAAACAATTTCCCGAGCAACTCGATGATTACTGTTTTATCTCTTATTGCTACACTGTGATTGACTAGCGATACGTAGTAAGCTTAGCGTACAAGTACCCTAAGGGCAGCTAATTTGCTGGTCAACTGTCGTTAAAATCTGTGTAGAATTACAGGTGCGTAACTAAGTAATTTGTTTATAGGTTACGAGAGTTCTAGAGTGCCGGAGTGAAATGCAATAACTCCAATTGGCTATCGACGCTAATGCCACCTTCGTTAGTGAAGTAACTTTTCATTTAAACCAAATGGAGGTTTGGCCTGTTTTATCCACGCCGTTAGCAGTGTACCATCCGTGATGTGTGTACTGAGGGTTCCCTCCCACCACATCAGGCTGGTAATTGGTTCGGGTACATCCAGAGCAAGAGTTACCTCCCGAACCTGAATGGACACTTGGGAAAAAGGGACCCTTGGTAAAGCCTCCAAATGGCGTGGTGTTGTCGTTAAAACCGTAACCGGTTGGGTAGGAGTCGGACCATGTTACCCCCAGGGCCTCCCCCAGGGCATATTTTCCGTACCTGCCACTTTCTCCTTTCAGCGCTTCCACAACAAAACCAACGATATGCATATGGCCTGGCTGTCCGCCGTAAAAGCGGTTATGATTTGCAAAGGTTATGTTGTAAGGGTTATTCTTCAGGTAAATACGGTACACGTATGCATATTGGTTGATACCACCCGTGGCTGGGTTATTACCCGCAGCCATGATCATGTAAGAAGCATGATTGGCCATTTGTACAGCCCCATGTGGCAGATTAATCAGCCCGTTTGAAGTGCTACGTTGGTTGGGAAGCCAAGCGTAACCAAAGGGATTATTCATATTAGGAATGCCCTTGTTATACTTGTCAGCTGTATTTTGTGCTGATGTGTGAACGTAACCATAACTAGCTAGCATCCATGCTCCGCCAGCAAAAGTCATGTCGCAGTAAGTTTGAGCCGGGGCTGTTTCACCAGGAGGCTGGATCCAGTACATGCCGCTGCCCTTGCCATCGCCGGCGTCAAGAATTGCCTGTGCGTTTGGTGCCGGGTTTTCTTTGGTTCCCAGCGGTTTTCTCAAAATAGAACAGCTGGTGCCAGTATAACGAGGCGGGCATTTACAAAGGTTCTTACCAATGCACGTTCCACCGTTCATACATGGCTTTTTTGCACAGTCCCTCGCACCTAGGAAGAGGTAATGTAGGCCAGAATATCCTCAGAAAAGATGTTGCTATTTAGCTTGTTATGGTAGTCAACCTTCAAGCACAAATTTAAGACTTGCGGGGACTTATTTTCGTCAAATAGGGTTGAAAAATGGAACGTCCTTGTGATACCTTTTGAAATAATCACTGTCACTGCTTTTTGTTTTGGTTTGTTTGTTTGTTTTTTTACGGTCGTGGCCGACCACAGGAAGTGCGTCTTTATAGAATAAAGCCGCTACTTACTTTTCTGACAGAAGGCTCCAGTGTATCCTGGTGGGCATGTGCACCAGGTGACGTTAGGTCCTGCGCACTGGCCTCCGTTACGGCAGTAGAGATCTTTGCAGACTAGAACGTTCAAATATGTTATATCAGAAGCGTATAGCCCCGATATCTGTGCTCCTGATTGCATACAAAAATTACAATGTAGTACAACTGTCTGCAATGTTTTAGTACTCGAACTGAACGTTTGCCATCAGCAGCTCTCTATGCATACAGCACAACGTCAAAGTAAACTCATATTAAAATCGAACTTGGACTGGAAATACCTGTACATTCCTTGTTGCTGCAGTACTTGATCATAAAAGTCTTCCCCTCTTCGCATTCTTTAGCCGTGTTATTGAGTTCACAGTCAATGTTCTTTGCAAATGCCTCACACCTCTGCACGATATTTTCCATTTCTTCGAAACACTCTAGACAAGATGCTAAGGAGAAAGCATTGATAAGAGTGCGGTAAGACTTTTCGAAAAAAATCTGGAAAAAAAATAAAAAAACGTAATTTAAAACTATATGTTCCCGAGGGCACAATATGAGTGAATTTTGCTCTCGATTTCACTTTTGTCTCAGGCGCGAGAGGCCTCAGTATGAGTCCCACATCACGTTCAGGCATTATTTCTCAAATGTACCTGCGGCTGTCTTTTGTCCATTTGCTATTGTTGTGTTGAAAACTGTTATTTATTTTTACAGGAATGAGATGTTTTAAATGAAACTCGTAGTATCATCCAGTTTAATCCGTGCTATTGGATTGATATTACTCAAGTTGAAAGATGTCTCCATTTTAAGTTGGTATGCAAGGCGTGCGCTATCTGAGGAGAGGCCAAATAAACCTTGGGAACGAACGTCAGAGGTTTTCGTTTGAGTAAGGGGTGGCGTAAAAAAATCAGTCCCCTTCTTAAATCCTGTCTTCCCCCCGTCAAATACAGTTGCCCTCGCCATGACACTAAGATGCCGTTTGAAGTATGCGATCGATATCAACGAAACACAGAAATACATGCGAACTGTAAACAGCTTATGGCACAACTGTCACGGTATGGTTAATGAACGCCAACCTTTTCCGCAGTGAGCCTTGCAAAGCTTCTCCAACTCCTGTTCGAACCCGTCGCAAATTTTGTCAAAGTTTAGGTGTGAACTGTTCGACTCGCGGCATCTTCGGGTCTCGTCGGATGCTTTTTTCACACAATCTTCATAAGTTACGTACTAACATAAACAAAGAATGAATAAGAAATTATTGATGAACAATAGCCTTCTACTTTCTCTCGGAACCCACAGTTATGACTAATGCTGTTGTATGGTATCTAGATTGGGTAGTGGCCCTATCAAGGCCGGATCAAACGGCCAACTGGTACCTCAACTACTGGTCAGTTAATTGTGTTCTTGGCCAAGACAACTTACTCTCACGGTTGCATTTTCCGCCTCGAATTATGAATTTAGGAAATCTGACAAAATGTCCAATGCCCTAAGATACCTTGGGCGTTAGACTAACATCCCATCTAGGAGAGCTAGTAATAATTCTAGTTGCTTTATGCCTAAGATAACTCGCTGATAACCAGTCCAACCAGCTCCGTGTTTATGACTACTCACTTACGGTGTTATTCCCCTCTTGGCATGTCTCCATTCTCTTTACGATGTCTGGCTGACCGCTTGCCGAAGGAACAGAACAGAGGCTTAAAACGATGCTACTACTGAAAACTAGGGCTACAAAACGTTCCATGTTGAGCTTTTGGATGCTAACACTAGAGGTGAAGTCTTCAGAATAGCTGCCCTATGGGGCTGTTCCGCATCTTGAAGGCCGACAAAACAATTGAGAGATGTATGTCACATTTGGTAGACAGATTTGTCTCTTTCACAAATCCTGAGTAAATCATCGTGTAAAGTATTGCCAATCTTTGGCAAATAACTGATGTGTTTTAGTCTCGCCAAAAGTATTCACCTGTCTTTTATGTTTCCTTATTTCCCAGCCGAAACGGAATTTCTTGATTTCTAGTGATCACTTTCACTATAAAGGATTCTTGAACTTACTAACAAAAGGTACACTTGCTGTAACTTCACTTTGAATCATTGAGACTTTTTTTGACCGTTTTTAGCCGTTGCACGAATAAATGAGAATATCGAACTTTCTAGAGCCAGCTTTAGTATAGATACAGCTGCTCTGTTATTTGATTCTGATTCACAGTCGAAAGACTGTAGAAGTGTTTAACAGCATAGCAACACGGGAGGACGATATGCAAACGTTTAATTCCTATTATTCACTTTTTGTAGTTTCCCCTAATAATCGCGTCGTTGCATACCCACAGCGGACCAGAGCGCTTTTCCCCCTTGGGTTTTTGGGCAGGATGCAAAATCTTTACAGCGTAATAATGTTTTAGGAGGAAGGGACACAATGTACTATGAGATGGGACAGGTCGGACACAAAATGACAAGGAGGGGGAGGGCGGGTAAAAGAGATCTTGGAAAAAAAGTTCCCAACTAGTAGCACTGAGACATGTATGGCGGATAGAAATAGGGATGCGCGATAAAGAAAGTGCTGGTTTTTTACATCTGTAAATCATTTTGTATATTTTAATGAATAAAACAAGCTAATCTAATACCACTATTAAGTCATCTTTATTCTTGCGAAGGCGAAGCGTACTAGTTTGCTGAACGACAACAGAAAGCAAATATCAGAGGACTACTGTCAAGGCAAAGCGCAGTGTCTAGTCACTAACGTTTGTCCAATTGAATGCTCAAGTCGAATTATTACGTACATTTGAGTTACACGTACACTAAATGATTGTTTCCTCTCAGTGAGACATGTGCGACTTCCGATCGACCGATGGTTCGAACCCTGTCTTCTGGACGTCAACTGACCTTGCCTTCGTTACCCGCTATCCTACACCGTTTATTAAATGTCTGGGATAGGATTACACTACTGCAAGCTTCTACATCACTGCAACCCCGAACCAAGCAGTTACATCCCCGAGCAATATAAGTGATACGATGATTACTGTTTGTCTCTACATGCTAGACTATGACCGACTAGCAATACACCTTAAGTCTAGCATACAAGTATCGTTTAGAGTGTCACAAGATTCTGATTTCTACGTGAAACAAGCTAGGTCAGGGGTAAACAGGGAGCTCATTTTGTTCGTATTGCAGATGCATAGAGGAGTTTTCATTTGAGGGTCGAAAATTAACTGGTTTTGCATTTACTACGCTACACGATTGGCTTAAAAAACTCGCGCCACTTTTTCAACCAATCAGAAGTAAAACCAAAACCAATCGTGACTCGTTCGCACACGTTTTCCCGCGCTTTGCGTCAGCTACATGTAATTTCTTCGAATTTTGATTGGTTCACTTTATTGTCTGTGTCCTTTGTGATTGGCCAGAGTGATTACTTTGGTTTTGGTTTTACGGCGCTCATTGAAAACAACTGCAACACAATAATTGGTTTTGAAGTAACAGAGTTCGAGACTAAGAGTGAAATGCAGTGACTCAAGGGAGATACTTGTACAATAGACTATCTACGCCGAATGGCATCTTCTTTAGTAAAGTAACTTTTCATTTAAACCAAATGGAGGTTTGACCAGTTTTATCCACGCCGTTAGCACTGTACCATCCTTTATGTGTGTACTGAGGGTTCCCACCCACCACATCAGGCTGATAATTGGTAGGAGTACATCCAGAGCACGAGCTACGTCCCGAACCCGAATGGACACTTGGGAAAAAGGGACCCTTAGCAAAAATTGCGTAAGGCGTGGTCTTGTCATAAAAACCGTAGCCGGTTGGGTAGGAGTCGCTCCATGTTACCCCCAGGGCCTCTCCCAGGGCATATCTCACGTACGTGCTTCTGTCTCCTTTCAGCGCTTCAACGACAAAATCAACGATATGCATACGGCCCGGCTGTCCGCCATTATAGCGGTTATGATTTGCAAATGTTATTTTGTAAGGGTTGTTCTTTAGGTAAATACGGTACACGTATGCATATTGGTTGATACCGCCCGTGGCTGGGTTATTACCCGCGGCCATAATCATGTAACGAGCGTTATTTGCCATCATTACCGCCCCGTGTGGTAAACTAATCACGCCATGAGAGTAGGTGCGTTGTGTGGGAAGCCAGGCGTAACCAAAGGGATTATTCATATTAGGAATGGCCTTGTTGTTGGAGTTTGTTCCCGTTGTGTGAACGTAACCATAACTAGCTAGCATCCATGCTCCACCAGCAAAACTCATGTCACAGTAAGTTTGAGCCGGGGCTGTTTCACCAGGGGGCTGGATCCAGTACATGCCGCTGCCCTTGCTATCGCCGGCGTCAAGAACTGCTTGTGCGTTTGGTGCCGGGTTGTCTTTGGTTCCCAGTCTTTTTCTGGTACACTGAGCACCAGAATAAGGAGGTGGACATTTACAGAGGTTTTCACCAATACATGTACCGCCATTTTTACACGGCTTTTTCACACAATTACCTTTAAAAGAAAACGAGAATTTTGTTATTTATCAGAAGGTAGTAAATATATCATACTGGTCATACGCAGATTGGTTCTTCCACTCCGTATGTCACCACTATATTTTTCCCGCTCTTACAGGTCAATACGTAGCTACTGGCCTGTTTCATAATATTTACCCATTTACCTTAAGAGGATAAAGAAAAATGTCGGACAAAATATCATTGGCAAAAATTATCCTTCAACCCTAAGACTTTGAGGGACCTCTTTCTGTCGTATAAGAGCGAAAAGTAGAACATCCGTGTGCTTCTGAAAGAGAGACTCACCGTTTCTTCAGTTAACAGCCGTCCTTTTAACAGTCGTTATGCAATGAGGCCGCTATACTTACTCTTTTGACAGAACGCTCCAGTGTATCCTGGTGGGCATGTGCACCATGTAGTATTTGGTCCAGCGCACTTGCCTCCGTTGCGGCAGTAGAGATCTTTGCAGACTGAAAATGCAACGATATTAAATCTCGTTAATAACCGCGTTACATTTTCTAAGCGACAGTTGAGGTTCAGTGGTATCAGTGGTATCAGTGCCACCTGGCGGATTAGGTTTCTAAATTTTACTGAAATTTGAACTCCTCTCACGGTTTTCTTCCCGCTCGTAGACCACGATCACATGCGTGTTGTCCTTGAAAGGGATATTATTATCGACTTTTAGAAGACAGCCAATCAGGGCATATGCCATAGTTAAAATGATCATAATAATTTTAAATAGAAATACTCGGTAGTCACCTTGACATTCGTTGCTGTTGCAGTACTTAGTGAGAGATGTCTTTGTTCTTTCACATTCTTGAGCTGTGGCATTGAGGTCGCACTTAATTTTCTTGGAAAAAAAATTGCAGCTCTCTACGATCTTTTCCATTTTGTCAAAACAATTGAGGCAAGATGCTATAAATGAGTAAGATTATACAATTAGAATATGGTACTAGAATATGGCGTCGTAGTTTTATGTAATTGTAAAATCTCGTCTATAGTACTCTAAAGCGTTTATGCATCGTTTATACATGTTCCAAGAGGTTTTGAGGGCGCTCTGGAAAAGGAAAGGGAAAGACTTGAAGCCATAACAGTTTCCTGTCACAAAAGCCCGAGGCTAGGTAAAATGCCATTTTAACGGTACATTTGAAGCTCGGATTTTCTGGCCTTGTTTTCATAAACCTTCCAGTCTGGGCAGGCTACTTTTTGCCTGCACATTTGTTTCGTGATATTTTCCTTCCATCCCTCAACTTAATATAGTTCAAAGAACTTTACAGAATCAACATCGAACAAGGCTTTTTCGTGGGATTTCTTATATTTTAGCCCTAAATTAAGGTACAGACCATTAGAAAAGTGATGGGTGGGGGGGAAAGGTGGAGGGAAATCCAAACAAAAGAACCGAGCGAGGGAAAATGGCAGGAAAAAAAATTGTTCCAAAAGAAACCCAAGAAAAAAAAAATCACGTAGAAGAAGGGTCGCACTGTGGTATCAAACCAGTCTAATTATAACTCTGCCAAATTACAAAGTGCTCAAAACGGGGGTGTTTAAATATTGACAAATTTTCCAGTGTTCTGTCATTGGATCCCATTTATATAAAGCCACTGTGTGTAGATTTTGGAAAAGCTGTTGTATGAACCCTTTCATTAATTCAAAAGACACGCCAAACAACATAACAACTTTGCCTTGAGCTGTCTCCGTAGACTCCTCCGCATCAGGTGGCTGGATAAAATCCAGGACACGGAGGTCCTGTAACGGACCAGCATCCTGTGTCCATAACCTCTTACAGAAAGCACAAGATAAATGGACTGGCCATGTCTGAATGCCAGACAGCCGACTGCCAAACGGCTGCTGTATGGAGAACCGTGTCAGAGCAAGCGCTCAGTTGCAAAGAATCCCTCAAAGACCTAGTGGCGGGCATCGACGTCAGCACTTTGGAGTCGCTTTCTCTAGACTGTCCTACCAAGCGAAGAAAGATCACCGCATAGATGCCCAGAGCAAACGCACCACGCACAGGTGAATATGGTACGAAGCAGATTAAAAAAGAAATTCGTACAAAGGGTTGCAGTTGAAAAAAAATCTTGCACAGTCAACAGGTAAAAAAAAAACAAATTTATGCGAGTCAAAAATCCCCCATCCCCATCCCCCAATCACTTTTGTAATGGTCCGTCCCTAAATTGAATCAACACAGAATTAGGGGAGGGCATTTTAGACATTTTACACATTTTACACGGCATTTTATATGGAAAGCCCTTAAGTGGAATAATTAAGGGCGGGGATCAATTTTTCACGCCATTTTTCATTTTAGCGTAATAGAATCAACATAAAATGAGGGGAGGGGATTAATTTTTCACGGATTGAACTTGGGACGGGGTGATCAATATTTTACGGCATTTTATATGTTTAACCCTCTAAATGAATCAACATTGAATTAGGTCCAGGGTTACTAATATTTCTCAGTATGTCGTCAACTTGCCTAGCGCTTTATTTCTTCACTCATAATGTAAATTTCATAAGCTAGCTGCCCTGAATCTTACTATCACAGCTGGGATTTTACTCGCATGCCTACGTTTTGCTTTGACAAGGCCGAAGGTTGTTTATAACATAAAGATCGCGAGGGTTTTATGACAACTAACCTTTAGCACAGTTGGCGGAACATAGGCTTTTCAACTGTTTTTCATACTCATTGCAAATTTTGTTATTGTCAGTCGTGAGCTGTGAGTGATTTGATTGTCCCCGGCATTTTCCAACCAACATAGACGCTTCTTTAACACAATCCTCGTAAGTGGTGTACTGAATTAAATAAAAAATAAAGCGGCAGTCAACAAACGGGAACAGTTCTATTTACAAGTTTTCGCGACGGCCTTCTTAGGTCATGTCAAGAGAAAATTTTCTTTTGGTCATGTAGGTTCTAAAATACCGCAAGGATACAAAATTGAGGGTACGGCCCAGAGAGACATTCAGTCTTATATCTTTAGGAAATTCTTTGCTGAAAATTAATTATTCTGTTCCTTTGTGAATTGCTGATCAGTGTGTGAAAAGACGAATACGCAATATGTATATCATTATTTATGTTATTTTGTTTCCTCCTTTGAAGTTTTTATTACTTTCTCGTAGCACTTGTTCAAGGTCACGTACGTTAATCCAAAACTCTTCTTCAGATTTGTTCGTGTCTTTCTTTACTCTGCTACCGTTTTGAAACGAAGTCTACTCGACATGTACAAAGTCAAAAACGTTTTCAAGTGCACTCCAGCGTAGCTGGATGAAGGTAATTTGATTAATAAAAAGTTTTTGTTATGATGACAAACTCAAGATCACTATATTTACTACAGGTATGGCGATTCTGGGTCGGGTTTTTCAAAGCCCGATTAAGCTAACCCGGGATTAACGAGAATTTTGATTTCAGTTGTAACTTTTCGGTGAGGTTTTCTGTTCACATTGTTTGTCCTTCAGTTTTGAGTTTGAATAATCTCAAACGTTTTGTTACGAGAAGTAAACTTGCATTAAAAAGTCGCGTGACAGATTGCCACGTATGTACGATTGTCAAGTGTTTGGCAGTCGACGGGCTGTTCGGAGTGTTCTCCGTTTGTAGATTGTTGATTTAAACGTAAATATGTCGTCAAAGAAATCCAAACGTTTTTGTCCATTAGCAAGTGCGAAGAAAGTACCACAGAGGAAAAAGTCGCGGGAAAAAGATTTCAAAAACATTCGATCAGAATTGGGCTGGTGCGTTAGCTGCTAGCGACAAAGGTTCCCGCCTCGAGCAGGAGAATACTTTGCCCGGACTGGACGACGAAGACGTTTGACATTCGCTAAACATTACTTCACAGGCCCGTTCGCCGTTCGAAGCGGTAACAGTAACATCTCAACTCAATCAGTATTCTTCCTCCACGTTGTTTACGAGTGCGCTCTATCCTCGTTTTAAAAATCGAAAGGAGCAAACAGAAGCGAAAACTATTTTGGGCGCACGAGCGGTGCAATTCAGATCATGCAAAGGATCTTTCGTGCCGGAGGCAACATTTGGGGCTCCTTAGTAATGATACGAGCCCTTTCGCTTTATCGATCAACGCGTCGTTATTTTGACACGTTTTGTGTAATTATCTCATTACGCCGGAAGTATATTTTCCTTCGTATCTCGAAACGAAAATTTCAGCGAGTGAAGCGCACATTTTGAATTCGTTTTCGGCAAGTTTTCGCCGTTTTTCGCTGACATTTGGAGAGAATGTTGCCCGACAATCCGGCAACAGAACAGTGTCGGAGAATTTTTATTTTTTGCTTCTTTTAACAGTTATGACTATTTTAGTGAAGAAAATGCATGTTTGCCCATTAACAAACCAGACAACTTATCAAAATTTCCCGGCACCGTTTTCAGTTCAGAGAAAGGTGTCAAGAAGACATGGCAATGTTGATCGCGTGCCCCCGGCTCAAATCCGACCGGAAACGAACTTGATTAGTGAACCTCTGTACTTTAGGAAATAGGGCGCTAAATTCGGAAAACCTTCATTTCTTTATTTTAATAAATATACCTTCGTAATCTGCAATTCTTAGGCTTTCAGAAATTGCAGTTACACTTACCTTTTGACAATTTTCCGTTCTGTTCACAACTGAGTCCGATTGAGTGGTCAGTGAAGGAACAGACTGAACAGAGCAGAGGCTCAGGGCCAGACAGGAACTGAAAACTAAAGCTGAGAATCTCCGCATTTCAAGTTTTTGCCACCTGTTTTCTTCAAAAACAGCTACCGTTTTTAGGCTTCGCCTGCAATTGTAACTGAACTTGCTGAAAATTACCGTGATCCGAAACACAAAGCCGCGCCGTTTGTTATTGAGGGTGTACACGTTTTGTCGTGTTTTTCCTTTGTTCGAAAACTTCCGGTGTCGTTATTTAAGTACTAATTAGACTTCATAAATAATTTCCGGTGTTCCTGACGAGGTGCCGAGAACACGGTAAGTGGGAAAACAGGGAATCCCGGAATTCGGAACCCAAACCGGAATACTCGGAATACCCGGAATGACCAAAAAATAATAAGTTTTGAAAATATAAATAAATAAAAATAACATTAACATTAAAATAAAAATAAATTAATAATTAATGAACAATTAATAACGAGATTAGATAATTAAATGCAAAATTTTCTTTTGATAAATATGTAAAAAGAAAAACAAGGAAACTGACAAAGAAACGTGAGGTAAAATGGATAACCACGTATGGCATTGTTGGAGATGCACATAATAGAACTAAAAAAAACATCTGCGTCAGGCCAGTGGCCCAGACAGCCTGAATCGAACCCAGTTTCTGGAGCATGAAGCGACGAGAATATTTCAGCTCCCCCCTGAATGGGACGTGCGTTACCGTTTTAAATTCGCCGGTATTCATTTACACACTCTAATTTTTTTTAGGCCGGTTGAAATCCAACCTCGTTTCCCCGAGCCAGGGAAAAGGCCCCGGGAACGAGTTTAGATGAAATCTTTTCTGATGAGTAGTCTTGTATCCATTTGCTTTTCTGCTGTAATAGCTTGTCATGAAAGTTCCAGCAGTTGAAGGCAGTAAAGAAGATATGTTTTTGTTACGTCTTAAAACTGTTGTGCATGATCTTAACATTTGAAAACTATTGTTCAAACTGTTTTGCAAACGTATTGACTTAGCAGCACGTTTAGCAGACATACCAGTAAGAGCTAAGCTATATATGAAGGATTGAGAAATTATTTGCGAATTGCAGGAGTCGTGTGGACCCCGCCAACACCTTTTAAACTATATGTGGACGGGTCTCGTTCTGACTTGTCTGAGATAATTGAGCTTTCCAGAAACAGACTGTCCTCTAGCGGTCTAAACATATCCTGTCAACATTTCTTACTATCAACAATTACGGAAGGAATACTTCTACCCTCGACCCTCTATAATACTTGCCCGTTTTCCAGCTGTCTCTGAACTACTTGATTGTGCGCGGTTTATCAAAAAAAAAAAATCTTTCAACACAAGATTGATAAACAGTGCCTATGCACTTCAGAATCGCTAGGAGTACCATCAACAAAGACAATGGACCATGTGGCGAGTAAAAAATTTTGAAAGTTTCCTTGTTTTGCGTTTTGCATATTTATCAGAAGAAAGTTTGTATTTAATTAATTATTAATTTATTGTTTTATTTTTATTTTTATTTAATTACATTTTTAAAATTTATTATTTTTCGGTCATTCCGAGGATTCCTGGTATTGCGGGTATTCCGAGTATTCTGGTTCCGGTTCCAAATTCGGGGATTCCATGTTTTCCAACCTAGCCGAAAACACCGGGTATTGTGAGCGTGAAGTTCTCTCTATTTGCAACACTTGTTGCACTTTTTTCCTTGTTGTCACTGTATTCGCGAAATGGAGTAGAAATGAATGTATTTACGTAATCACCGCAGTTACTTCTTCTGAAATGTTTCTTGAGTTTTACTAGGTGTGTAAAGTTTTCAATTGATATATTGCAAAAACTTCCGGTACCGTATCCGTAAAGTTTCCTCCGTTTGCTTTTTTTATAGCCCAAAGAACGTGGCATGAATAAGATCTCCAGTGCTCTCTCTCTCCTTAGCAGAATATGAACGGACAGAAACCTTGATGAAGACATAATCTTAGTATGTGCGCATGTTTGTATTTCGACACTTGCCGAACTCATTTCCAGTTTTTGTCAAACGCAGGTATAATGGCTGGCAACCGAGATGCAGTGAGCCAATCAGAAAACTAGAAATGCATTATTTGAGGGTTAGAATTTAATAATTTCTATTCTTTATTTTCTGTATTTTTTCTGGTCTTTGCGTCGTTGCGTACAACGGACTAGACAGAATTTCTTCCTTGTAACCTTGGCAACAGGCAAATCCTTTCATCTACGAAATTTTCACAATGGCATAGCATAATTTCGTGGGAGGGAGGGTTACAATGTACTATGGGATCGAAAATGTTGTCGGACTAACAAAATGATAAGGAGGGGGAGAGCGGGAGAAAGGGATCTTGGAAACAAAGTTCCCATCGAGAAGAACTGAGACAGTGAAATGACGGACGCAAATTGGGATGCGAAATAAAGAAAGTACTTGTACTTTACAGTTATCAGTATTTTCAAAACTCTTCTGTATCTTGACATGTTGTATATCTTAATGAATAAAACAAGCTGTGGTAAAGCTATTACCGCTATCAAATTAAAGTTTAAGTGATCTATCTTCATTCCTACGAAAACAAAGTGTACTTGTTTGTTAAACGATAACAGAGTGCAAATATCAAGGACTCCTTTCAAGGCGAAGCGCATGTCTCAAGTCCCTAACGCTGTTCCAATTTCAAAGCTGAAGTTAGCTTTATAACGCGAACAGATACCAGTAACACGCACCAAAATACTGCGTAAAGTTGTACTGCGTTGGTTGTGTTGAAAATTGTTCTATTTTCTCAGTGAGACATGTGCCTGAATTAAAACATTTTTGCGCGACTTGCGGTTGACCGAATTACGAATTATAAAGTTTCTCGAATATGACTACATTGCTGCAAACGTCTAAGGACTGCAGCAATTCGATGAATGCTGATTGTCTCTTATTGCTAATCTATGACCGACAAGCGATACACCTTAAACTTAGTCTACAGATATCGTTTACACACAAGATTCTGATTTCTGTGTGGAACAAGGTTGGGTGGTTAAGGGGAGCTTATTTTGTTAGCGAATCTGATTAAAATCTTTCTTTCTAGAATTTTAGATGTATAACTAAATAACTGGCTTTGAAGTGATGAGAGTTCGAAAATGTAATGACTCTAAAGAGTGTACTTGTCCAGTAGGCTATCTACTCTAATGGAACCTTCTTTAGTAAAGTAGCTTTTCACTTAAACCAAATAGAGGTTTGACCTGTTTTGTCCCACCCGTTAGCGGTGTACCATCCATGATGTGTGTACTGAGGGGTCCCATCCACCACATCAGGCTCGTAGTTAGTAGTAGGGGTACATCCAGAACACGGGCTTCGTCCCGAACCCGAATGGACACTCGGGAAAAAGGGACCCTTGGTAAAGCTTCCATAAGGCGTGGTTTGGTCATAAAAACCGTAACCGGTTGGGTAGGAGTCGGACCATGTTACCCCAAGGGCCTCCCCAAGGGCATATTTTCCGTATGCGCCACTTTCTCCTTTCAGTGCTTCCACAACAAAACCAACGATATGCATACGGCCCGGCTGTCCGCCATTATAACGGTTATGGTTTGCAAAGGTTATGTTGTAAGGGTTATTCTTTAGGTAAATACGGTACACGTATGCATATTGGTTGATACCACCCGTGGCTGGGTTATTACCCGCAGCCATGATCATGTAACCAGCGTTATTTGTCATCATTACCGCCCCGTGTGGTAAATTAATCACGCCATGAGAGGAGGTACGTTGGGTTGGAAGCCAAGCGAAACCAAAGGGACTATTCATGTTAGGAATGGCCTTGTTGTTGGAGTTTGTTCCCGTTGTGTGAACGTAACCATAACTAGCTAGCATCCATGCTCCACCAGCAAAGCTCATGTCGCAGTAAGTTTGAGCCGGGGCTGTTTCACCAGGAGGTTGGATCCAGTACATGCCGCTGCCTACACTATCGCCGGCGTCAAGAATTGCTTGTGCGTTTGGTGCCGGGTTGTCTCTGGTTCCCAGTCTTTTTCTTGTACACTGAGCACCAGAATAAGGAGGTGGACATTTACAGAGGTTTTCACCGATGCACGTGCCTCCATTTTTACATGGCAATCTTGCACATCTACCTTCAAAAGGAAAAAGGAGCAACCGTTAACGGATCTTGCTCAGCAGAATCATTCAAATCTATACTATTGCTAACCACTAACCATTAATTTGTCTACTGCATATAATAAGCATCTAAATTTTTTTTCATCTTGGAAGTGAAATATCTTACATGCTTATTGGTAGCGTTACGGAATGACTTCACGGCAAAGCTAATCTAAACTAAGCTTTCGCAGCAGTACGACTTAACTTAGCCCAATTTCGCGTTTTTGAATCTAATTACGAGCAATCTTCAACCTTAAATGAACGCTACACCGTATTTTAAGAATCTAAGATTGATTAAATGTCTACAGAAAGCTTTGCATTGTTTGATTTCATTCCGAGCTTTTCACTTCAAAAAATAAAAAATATAAAGTAGGAAGCCAGCACTTACTTTTATGACAGAAAGCTCCCGCGTAACCTGGCGGACATGCGCACAAAGAAGCGTTGGGTCCTGCACACTTGCCTCCATTGCGACAGTAAAGATCTTTACAGACTACGAAATACGAAAATATTACAAATGAATTACAACTGTACGCGCAATATTTTTTGGGTTAAAGTTGGTGTGCCCCTTGGGCGATATGTTTTTAGTGGCTGGTTTAAACCGCGCTCTTTTTTTAACTGACTGAAATTCCTTTTGGTTTACGTGAAGTACCATACGTACCTTTGCATTCCTGGCTACTGCAGTACTTGATGAGAGAAATCTTTGTTTCTTCGCATTCCTGAGCTGAGGCACTGGCATTGAGGTCACAGTTTATTTTCTTGGAAAACAGTTCGCAGCTTTCGACGATCTTTTCCATTTTGTTGAAGCACTCCAGGCAAGATGCTTAAAAGAAGGAAGAAAACAATTGTTATAACCATAGGCTTCCTTTTACAAGTTGGCTCATCTAATGGTACTAACGACCGGGATTGATTCACAGCCTGTGTTCACACTTGGTGCCCTAGCACGGTGCCCGAGTACGAGTTTCGCGGGTACTAATCTGAATGTGTACACACCCTTTTTTCAATTACTCACACCGGAATTCGGGGACACTGCCCATGCTCGGGCACAAGGTCTTGACCTTATACTCTGGCACTAAATGGCACTTGGGTACTTATACTAGCGCGTCTGAACGCAACACTATTTTGTGCCGGTGCCTTGTCATCAGTGCTCGGGCACCAAGTGTGAACACAGCCATAATGAACCGATTGCAAAACATCAACGTCGGAAATAATCAAACGAAGACTCAATCCGGAAAAGAGAAACGCACTTGGCGTGTATCGTTTACCGCAAACTTTCCTTTCAAAGTTTTACGCAGCAGGCTAAATTTCGAAATTTCTTGTCAGTTGAAACAAGGGTCTTCCAAAATTTCGTTGGAAACAAAATGTCGTTCGTTAGCATTGAATTTCCGTTGCATTTCTTTAGCACAGCAGTGTATTTCATTGCGGCTCCGAATGCCCGCGCAAAAACAAAAGGCGGCGCATGCGTATTAGGAGATAAGTACCTCGGCTTGTATTGACTGTTAATTGTTACTTTATGTTGGCTCATATTTACAGGGGAATGATTGGCGTAATTGCATTTGTTAAGCTTGGCCGAGAAATCAACTCTTAAACTACCACTTAATAATTTAGAAGGAAATTTTGATCACGGATATAAACACCTTTTCCCTCGGGTACAACTTCAACCCCTCCGTTATAAGCCTCCCTTGCATCCCTTAAAGATGATAGATAAAATCGCA